TAATGCTGTTTCCTGGCAGACCGAGATGGCGGAGCCACTAACAAATACACACACAAGCTCACAACAACATTGCGACATCATATGGTACCAGCTGACATAGGGTACTTCTTAGCCAATAGCAATGGCAGATTTAAATTCAAATGCAGTACAGAGTTTTTACCTGGAGGGTGAAACACGGACAGTTTTAGATAGAAAATAAAAATTTGAACTAAGATGCACTAAAGAACGAAATTATTTACTACACATGTCTATGGGAGAATTAGACACTCGTTTATTTAGTTTATCAGCAAAAAAAAGTAGATTTGGGGGTGACTTGCTCTTTAAGCTACGATTTACTTTCCTATGGAGCAATAAAAAGTGTATCCACTTTTTTCTTAAATAGAAAATTACATTGTCTCTGTGTGGGCTCAGTTTCTGTTCAAACCTGCTCTCTCACACGGCTACATCAGTCAATTAGACTTTCACTTTTCCAGAACTCAAACCTCTCTTCAGCTCCATTGTTCATTTTAACATAGACAGAATTAACAGTATTTCAGAGAATATACTTAAAATAGATGATCGTTCAGAGCCATTGTTCCATGTTCTTTGAGAATTCAGAATCTTTCTAACAGCACATGCCCACCCCATTCAGCCCTGATGACTGCTATAATGCCCTCCAGTGAGATATTTTATTTAATGCTTCTAAATAATGTAGAGAGCTGAGGCGCGTTTATATGTGTAGTAAATTTTATACATAATAGCTATTGTAAATGCTTTCCATCAGGCTTAAGAAGAACAGTGTTACAAAACAATCAAAAAGGAAATGGAAAGTAAAATAAGTGTGGCATAACTGAAGCAATTCTATTAAAAGGTTTTCATAATTCAAAAGTAAAGAAAAGAAAATTATTTGTGAAAATTGCAAAAATGTAAAACTTGTGGATTTTTGATTATTTTGATTTTTGTGTTTGTTATAAAAATCTGGGAAATGGTGATAAATGCATGAAAATCGGACAAAATTAATCCCACTTTTTTTTAAATACAGCAAACGAACTCCGCTTTGATGAAACTCTCCTTGCTGCTTTGACACAGCATGGATCAATAGATTGTAAACATGATCAAGAATCTCACACCGTCAGCTTTTGCACAACCAGCAGTGGCAAAAAGACTGTTGAGTAATTCTCTCATGCTATGTCCCATCAGTCTCCCACCTGTGCTCATGTTAATGCTGGAGGATAGAAAAAGCAAAAATACAAAACAATCTGAAATAAAGCCCACCAAATGACCGAACAGTGTGCAAATGACTGCTGTGATAAAAAAAATCATATTTCAGCTCGTGGCTTGACAGCAGTTTTCCACTCTCTGTCACCAGATTTATTCCTTTGGTATGATTTCTGAAATCTTCAGCCTAAAACCCCAATAAGCCAAGAGGATTACGGAGCGCCACTTTCACGCCTGGTTTTCATACTGAAAATCAAGGTCAGACATGAGGATAACCCCGCTTCCCCTTTGCCTTGAACGAGTTCTGATTAGAACTGGTTGTATCGGTGAGTCAGTACAGCTTATCTTTGATATAATGAGACCTTAAATACACAAATAATGAGCCACAATCAGCAGTTCGTCTCCTCAGTTCAAATGAAAGCGAAAGGCTAGATTAGCTGTGTCTAATCCCCTTTTCTTTTTTCTGACGGTGCTTCCAGTTAAGCTGCATCAGAGTGTCACTGTTCCAGCTGCAAATAGAAGTTGGGACATGTCAGTTTAAAAGTGATGTAAGAGGGGAATTGGATTACAAGATGGCTTCTCATTCATGTGTATGAACGTGGCTCAATTTCATATATGGACAAAAAAATAGTGCACACGTATTTGCATGCTGCTCTGTGAAGCTAGAGGGAAGGATGGAACCAAGAGTTCCCATTGGCTCCCAATCAATGGGATGAAATATAGCTAGAAGAGTATGAAGATCACACCCTCCACTAATGAAAATGATTTGAATCCAATTAAAATGAAACTGGGTTTTAATTTTTAAAAATCTCCACCAAGCTGAGGGGATTTCAGCCACGCTGATGTAGCTTGTTCCTGCGGACAGCCAACAAAACAGGGTTTGGCTCAAGTGCTGCCAAGTCTCTGAGAATGAGCGTGAGATTTACGTGACTGGCACTTTTTGCCCAATCCTTCTCATGCCAGATGCCCATTTTGTTAAAGAGAATAATTTCCTAACGGATGATAAGTAGAACCTCCAGACATCAGTCAGACAAGGCCACACCTGGAGCAGCTAGTTCGATTATGTTGTTGCTGTCAGGCCTGGTTAGGTGATTATGGGATTGAATTCTCAAGGAGGCACAAAAAGATCCAGAGACAAAAGCCTGCTGGAAAAATACCAAATCTCTACAGACTGGTGGTTACTTTAACATGTAACTAGTTAGCTCAAATACACACATTAATAGCCCAGTTCTCTTACACTCAAATTGTATTGGACACATTTGATTCCATGCATCCATTTTCCTCTTTGGAAAAATATCCGGGGGCAGCAGCCTAAGCAGAGAGGCCAAGCCTTCCCTCTCTCCAGCCACTTAAGCCAGCTCCTCCAAGGATATCCCATGGCATTCCCCAGCCAGCCAAGAAATATAGTCATGTAGTCCTTCCAGCATGTTCTGGGTTGTCCTAGGTCTCCTCCCAGTTGGACGTGCCTAGAAAGCCTCACCAGGGAGGCATCCTGACTGGATGCATGAGCCACATCAACTGGCTCCTCTTGATGTGGAGGAGCAGCGGATCTCCTCCTAGGGTAACAGTGGCAGAGGAGTAAAGTGTCCCCTTCGTAACCGGGGGGTTGCAGGTTTGAGCTCTGTCTATTGCAGCCATTGTCCTTGGGCAAGACTCTTAACTCATCTTGCCTGTTGGAGGTGGTCGGAGGGACCAGCGGTGCCATTGTTTGGCTTCACCTCCATTGCTCATCACCACAGGTATGTGAATGTGTTTGTGGATGACTGATGTGTTATAAAGCACCTTGGGGGGTGTAGAACCCTAATAGGCACTATAGAGCTCCGGACCCCACGTGACTCTCAGTTAGTAGACGCCATATTGGCAGGAAAAAAGGTAAACACGGGTCGTAAACATGAACATGAACGGGATTGGCTTGGATTTTACTCCATCGGAGTCACTACTTCCATTAAGGCTGAAAATGCAGTCAGCAAGCAAAGATAAGAAATAACCCCAGTGTAGACAAAATGAAGGTTCAATTTGTGTATTAACTAAAAATCTAAAGATTCTCACATCCTGGGTGTGCCTCAGTTTTTTAACAGATCGGCTCACCTTATTAAAAAAATGGGTCCATTCAACAAAACTTGGTGTTTCAAATGTTTTAATAAACAAAATTAACTCTGTACGTGTCATGAGTCAATGATTCTAAAAAAGGATTTTTCAAAAAGGCAAAAATGAAAAACTCCATGCTAGAAAATAGCAGCCTGGTTAGGGATAACCCAGCAGAATCTGGATTTCTGAAACCGTGCAGGTGCTTTCACCAGCCTTCTAAAGCTTTCCCAAGCTGGCTTGAAGGAAAACAAAATGTTGGACCACCATAATGTCTACAATCTATTGAGTCATCATCACTTTTATCTTATTTGAAATGAAATAACCATTCTGCCTTAACCATACAGTATAATCTTTTTAATCATGCATTGGTCAAAGTGGGGCATTATCACCTTCGATGGTGCCAAGATTCCTTCATTGTTAACCATACTGGAAGCTTCAAATCATGAGCAGGAAATGAAAATGTGTCTCAGCGTTGACCCAGAATGCGGTGGGCTGACTGCAGCTGAGATGTCAGTTTTCAAACTAATTTAAAGTATGAAGGCCATTGCTAATTACAGTACACTCATTAATTATATCAAGTTTCTTTTTAATTAAGGAGAAGGCTTGACAGACATTTACTTTGGCCTTGGTTTAGCACCTAGAATCCTCCTGGGGCAGTGCTACGGCCAAGGAAAGTTGGCTCACATGAAAGGCTTTAGCCATGGCGCAGGTATACAAATTAGGTCAGAAACCTGAAAACCAGCGGAGCTGCTTCCTAACAAACTCATTTCATCTGGCATGTGTGATTACATGTGTGTTAATGTGGCTCGGAGCCATCGCAAACCCAATCAAAATGCAAATGGGACAGTGAGCAATGAGAAGATGTAGCAGGTAGAAAACAAAGAAGCAGATAAGCTGACACAGCAAACTGAATTGTTGGCTAAATGCTTCTTGTGGTTTCCTCAGTGTGTGTGTGTGTGTGTGTCCGTGTCTCCACGGTGTAGCCACTTCCATTACACAGCAGAACATCAGATACCACCGCTAGTGTTCTCCTGGGTGCTGGGTCTACAGCGTCGTGTTAAGGCTTCTCCTGGCGGGGTGTATAAGAGCAAGCACACCTTCTCTGTATGTCTCATCTCTTATATTCCTCTCCTCCATCACTTAAAAGCTGTTCCTCCCAATCTGTGTTTGATCCATTACCTTATTTCTTCCACTCACCTTTCCAGTGCACCGCCCTCTCTGCTGCCATTACCCCCCCCCCCTCCTCCATCAGCCAACTCATCTACCTACTATTCCATTTGCTCTTCTCCACCCTCTTCCCTCCAACAGCTCCTTTTTAGCCTCTCCTGCCTCACTCCTTCTTCCATGCATGTGCAGAGTTCAGTCTCTTTCATACTGTCACATACCCTCCGCCCAGCATAATTCCTAATCCTGTGCACCCTTTAATCTAGTTCATCCTACAACAATTTTTGCAGTTTCAGACCTTTACCCCTTCCTTCACCCATCCCTTACCCCACCAACACCTCCCCTCCTCCTGTTTCTTTGAACCAGACACAAGCAACATCTTTAAATAGAAGGAAATCACCAGCGCCATTATCTTCTCATCCATCTCTTCCCTGTTGTCAACATAACTATGTTATAATAAACACATTATAATAAGAGAAATCGTTTTGAAAATGGAATAAACATCGTGATGGGGAAGACACTAGCAGAGCAAAGAAAATAAATGACTGTACCTGCGCGTCTCCCCTCTGGCTCTCCCGTTATTTCTCCTCCTGGTGTTTTATCTCCTCTCAAAACAGCTGAAGATCTCACCTCAATCAAAATCTGTTAAATAATCCTTCATCTGGAGAAATGACACATTTTCACAAAGGCAAATGGAGAAAATATATCCACTTTTTTCCTGTGTTTCGTGCCTCGCAGGGCTGGGGCTGCGGGGTCCTCCCGGATGATGAGGAAACAAAAAGGCGTTTCAGTTCAGTTCCCGCTGAGTTTGCACCAAACTGCTCCTGGAGACCAGTGGCAGCCTTTTAACCTGCAGAAGTCCGCTGTCAGCTGGTGATCCGCCGGGGCAGAGGAAGCAGATAAAAGCCGCCGTTAAACCGGCACGCCACCTCCTTGCGCACTCATGTCTCCAGAAGAATTCCTCCTTCCAGTTAACGCTCCTTTAATCGGAAAACACCCCGCCACTGAGGGGTGATACTGGGCTGAAATCCGGGATTTATAAGAGTAAATGGAACTCTGTAGCCTGTAGGATAGTTAGGAAACCACCACGCGCGCGGTTTATGATCCACAGCCGGTTTCATGGAGATCCTTCCAGATTCAGCAGCTGTCACCGCTGTCCATGCTCCTCTTCTCACTCAATCACGAACCTGTGTGTCTGATCTGCACTTGCCCTAAAGGAGAATAACCCTCCTCATCCCCTCTGGTAGTGGCTGCGTTCCCTAGGTCTTCCAGGTAAAACGAAACAGTGATAAAATCAGAGCACGCTGAGCGCATTTGTAACGGTTTCTTCTCCGTTCTTAGTAACACAGGTGACTTTGTGGTGACCTCTCTCCTCTCTCCGCATCGCTCCAGGACATCAGTGTGGGCTGCCCGGTGGATGGCAGTGTCTAGATGCGTTGTAGGTCAGGAGGAATGGCAAGCTTCAGAAGAGAGAGAGAGAGAGAGAGAGAGAGAGAGAGAGAGAGAGAGAGAGAGAGAGAGAGAGAGAGAGAGAGAGAGAGAGAGAGAGAGAGAGAGAGAGAGAGAGAGAGAGAGAGAGAGAGAGAGAGAGAGAGAGAGAGAGAGAGAGAGAGAGAGAGAGAGAGAGAGAGAGAGAGAGAGAGAGAGAGAGAGAGAGAAAATCTCCTATCTTCTGGGTGAAAAGCGCCCTGATCCGACACAGTCTCCGTCCCTTTGCTGTAGTTACTTTCACACTGTGCGGCGGTTCGTCCCGGGAGGCGTTACGCCCACCAGCCTCTCTCCGGTGCGTCTCCCTCCCTCTGCGCCACACCGACTATAGACGAGTCGCCGCTCCAGGATTAGGCTGCAAGCTGCTAATAACAGATGGGTGCGTTATGACGATGGTGAGTGATGCCATCGCAGAGGCGTTTACTCTGGAGTTGTGGCTGATACACACACACACACACACACACACACACACACACACACAACACAGGGTGGGGATCTCAAGAGGGCCACATAAATGCATAAAAACACTCACTGGGTATTGGTAATTCTGTTGCTTTTCAACATTTATTTCTGGATCAATGTGAGTCCCTTGATATTAGTTTAAACACCACCACCTTCCTGAGTTATAATGACTTCAGTGGACCCATGAACCAGGGCACACTGCTCAGATCATCTCTGGTTTCTAGAACATGAGTTCACTGGAATCCAACGACCTCCACAGTAACCAGGTCTCAGTCCAGTCCAGAACCGTTGGGATGAGGTGGAACAGGAAATCTGCGTCATGGGGTGTGCAGCTGACAAAGGGGTGAGATACACGTGGGGTTCATTGGACCACATTAGGTGGGTTGGGAATAAAGAGAATAAATAAACAAAACTCTGAAAAGAGGGCCTCTTTTATCCATCCGCGAGAAAGAAACAAGTCGAAGACACACACGAGCAGCAAAACAAGAAGCAGAAAGCACAATAAAGAAGTCAGCCATAACCGATCACTGCACAAGAGAAAACCATGTAAAGGAATGGGACAACACAAGGATCATAAACACCAAACAACTGAAACACAAAAGATGGATAAAATAAGCCATAGAGACAAGGAGACATGGATGTGGGACCATGAACAGAGACGATGGAGTTTACTCATTGGACCACGCATGGGACTGCATCATCAGAGAGGGGAGAGCGGGCAGCAGAGGGCGACAACGTCCTCTGCTGCCGGCGGATAAACGGAGTAGGAAGTGACGCCACCATCAGCGTCAGCTCTGAAGATGTTTTGCAGTCGGCAAATGAAACGTTAGCAGGTAAAGAAAAACCTTTTCTGTGTTTTAAAAATGACCAAAAATGGAATTGTGAACTGGAAACACAGGATTTCATAGTAAACAGATAAAAATATCACACACTGTGCCTTTAACATCAAAATCATTTGGAAAAATCAGTTTAATCCATTTTTCAAACAGTGATACCGGCCTAATGCAAACAGACATTTTGTAAACCAGGAATTTACATTATTATCGGTTATAAACCCAGATAAACAGTTTTGATAAAATCACAAATTTGGTGATTATTAAATAGAAGACTACACTGCAGACCACTAAAGTAAACTCTCACTTTAGGAATATAATCAGCACACAGGAATCAATAATGTCCACTTCCTCTAACTGACGTTTCAAGCACTTGTGGTCATAAAAGAAGACATAATGTGGTCAAAATGCTTTTTTTAAATAGTCATGTTTTGCTTATGTTGCAAAATCTTGTAAAGGAGAGAATAGAAAGACATTTCAATGGAAAATGTTTACTCTGCAATTATATTTGCTTTTTGTTTCAGTTTTAAAATCTTTGAGTTCTTTTCAAGTTATTATAACAGGAAAATGTTACATTACAGCTAGTTTTAGTGTTGCACTTTAGGTCTTTTCACACAAACACAGCTCTCTATATAAGAAAAAAAGTCAAATAAGACACATCAACACCCTCCTGATTTATTTGGTTCTAATAATTGGTTGCATTAAAATTTCAATCAACAGTAAATCTAATGTTCATACTTTGCTTCATGATAACAGAGCTTGTGATGTTGAGAGACTGAGGGGAGAGGGAATGAACTGCAGGGGGAAAATGAAAGCATAGAGAGACAGATTAGAGAATGGCAATAAGCTTAGGAGGGAAAACGGAGGATGGAGGGAGAAAAGAAGATATTGTAAAAAAAAAAAAAATTAAAACTGAAGACCCGCCAGCTGATTCAGCACCACGGACAGTGCTGCAGTACGGTTCAGCAGCACAAGGCCAGAACAAGCTTTATCCTCAGAGAGAAAAGCCAAAAGCTCTTCTCAACATAGAATAGAAGAGAAATACATTCTAGGATCACACACACACACACACACACACACACACACACACACACACACACACACACACACACACACGCGCGCGCGCGTGTCCTTGCTTCTCGTAGACCTGCATGTCCCCAGCCTACCACCCTCCTGAACCATCCACAGTTTGCGCCTTATCATTTCTCTGCATGGATGTACTCTTTGTGGATCAAAAAATAGTTGAGAATAAGTCAACCGTGTGTGTGTGTGTGTGTGTGTGTGTGTGTGTGTGCGTGTGTGTGTGTGTGTGTGTGTGTGTGTGTGTGTGAGATCCTAGAATGTATTTCTCTTCTATTCTTGGTTTGTGTAGTTTTTAGTGATGTCTGATGTTTTTTTTTTCTCCATCAGTCTCCAAATTTAGAGAAGAAGCACGATGAAGGGTTCAAGAGGACAGTGCGCACTGAACCAGGTGAAGGATTTACAAACAGATCAGGAGTGTTTGATCCTTAGAGAGACATTTACAGACAGGAATGAACAACAAGGAGGAAAGGTCGAGAAAATGAAATTTATAAATAAAAAAATGTACAGCGAGCAAAACCAGAATATATATATGAAAATAAAAAAATGTATCCTTAAAAATGAGTTGTTTGTGTGTTTGATATCCCCATGGTCCCTTTTATGGTTTAAAAATGTTACTATTAACTTTGTTTATAGCTTTTTGATGTTATAAACACAAAAACAGTAAAAGTATTTTGGCCCTGCATTTGCCACATCCACACATATAAGTGACTGGACATCAACATATTCAATCTGATATTTAATCCATAAATGGATTAAGAGATTAGTGCTTTAGCTGGATAGATGATTAATCTTGCAATCAGGTAGCTGATTGGTATGAATTAGTTTATGTTGATATAAACTTTCTTTTGAGACACATTTACATTTTATGACATTTTAGAGAATGTTCTGTTGACGTAAAATTAGATTAAGATTTTTTTTTTTTTTTTTACAAAGTGGACTCATTACAGGAACAATTAAAAACATGAGATTAAACATACAGGGTGGGGTTATTTCTTTATAATAAGTAGTCAAAATACAGGGATTCCAAGGCAATAGAAATTCAGATTCAGATTTATTGGCCAAGTAAAATTACATTTACAAGGAATTTGGCTTCAGTAGATGTTCGCTCTCTATATATGTAAATATATGTTTACGTAAATGTTGTAAACATTTCTGTGTGTGTGTGTGTGTGTGTGTGTGTGTGTGTGTGTGTGTGTGTACTTGTTTTCATAAGTTTAAGTGCATACATTTTAACTAACCTGTAATCTGTGGACATATCCACATTGTGGGGCATTTTGCTGGTACATGCAATGTTAGGCACCCTAAAACTTGGTTTTAGAGATTTGGTGTAAATTAACTTTTGGTTTAGGTTGGTTAGGGTTAGAAAAAAAACCATTGGTTATGGGTGGGCTCTTCATTAAACTGTCACCTTATCGTGTTGGAGGAGTTTGAGAGCCCTAATGATCCTAGGAGCTATGTTGTCTGGGGCACTTTGTGCCCCTGGTAGGGTCCCCCATGACAAATTGGTCTTAGGTGAAGGTTGAGACAAAGAACAGTTCACAGGATCTTTCATGGAAGTAAAGTCAAAGAGTCGGAGTACCCGGCCCGGAGGGTTACCGCAGTCCCACCCTGGAGCCAGGCCTGGGGTTGGGGCCCGTGAGCGAGCGCCTGGTGGCCGGGCTTTCGCCCATGGGGCCTGGCCGGGCCCAGGCCAAACTGGATACATGGGCTCATCCAACTGTGGACCCACCACCCGCAGGAGGAACATGAAGGGTCCGGTGCAATGTGGATCGGGTGGCAGACCAAGGTGGGAGCCTTGGCGGTCCGATCCCCGGACAAGAAAACTGGTTTTTGGGACATGGAACATCATCTCGCTGGCGGGGAAGGAGCAGGAGCTTGTGGCAGAGGTTGAGCAGTACCGGCTAGATATAGTCAGACTCACCTCGACACATAGCATTGGCTCTGGAACCCAAGTCCTTGAGAGGGGTTGGACACTCTCCTTTGCTGGAGTTGCTCCGGGTGAGAGGCGGAGGGCTAGGGTTGGCTTTTTGTTAGCCCCAAGACTCTCTGCCTGTGTGTTGGGGTTTACCCGGGGGGACGAGAGGGTAGCTTCCCTGTGCCTTCGGGTCGGGGAACGGGTCCTGATTGTTGTTTGTGCTTATGGGCCAAATATCAGTTCAGAGTACTCACCCTTTTTGGAGTCCCTGGGACGAGTGCTAGATAGTGCTCCATCAGGGGACTCCATTGTCCTGCTGTGAGACTTCAATGCTCACGTGGGCAATGACAGCTTGGCCTGGAGGGGTGTGATTGGGAGGAACGGCCCGCCTGATCTGAACTAGAGAGGTGTTTCATTATTGGACTTCTGTGCAAGCCGCAGTTTGGCCATAGCGAACACCATGTTCGAACAAAAGGATGCCCACCGGTACACTTGGTACCAGGGCAGTCTAGGTCGCAGGTCGATGATAGACTTTGTAGTCGTGTCATCTGACCTGCGGCCGTATGTTATGAACACCCAAGTGAAGAGAGGAGCGGAGCGGAGCTGTCAGCTGATCACCACTTGGTGGTGAGTTGGATCAGATGGCAGGGGAAGATGCTGCGTAGACATGGCAGACCCAAACACATAGTGAGGGTCTGCTGGG